AAACTACTAACCAGCCGCAGCAGCAGCAGCATCAGGTGGACCTGGAGCAGGACCTCAAACAACAGGCTTGGGCCTACTTGGACAGCACCCTGCCAACCGAGGTAGACAATCCCCTTGACTACTGGGCAACGAAACTTGACCTTTGGCCCCAACTAGCTGAATTTGCCCTTGAAAGGCTGTCATGCCCGGCCAGTAGCGTGGCATCGGAGCGCGTGTTTAGTGCGGCAGGAGGTATTGTAACTCCGCGGAGGACACGACTGTCCACCCAAAGTGTGAGAGAGAATGAATCACGTTTAGTGATTTCAAACCATCCTGACACAACTGAATCAGGCTCACACTGCTGGTGTGTTCCATTTTTTGTCATAGGCTGGCAGATTACGCAGTGCCCAGCATATGCTGCCAGGCCCATAAATCTGCCATGGGCCCTCCTAGTACACCTCCCCTGCGTCTGGATTTCAAACACCACCTCTCATGGGTTCCTGACACCTGATTAAATCCGCCATGAACATGCCTCTGCCATGTGCCACTTTCAGGTCTACTCACACTGCTGGTGTGTTCCATTTTTTGTCATAGGGTGCTGGCAGATTACGGGCCTCCCATAGCTGCTGCCAGGCCCCTAATCTGCCATGGGCCCCTATACCGCCTCCTCATGCTGCTGCCAGGTCCAGAGTCTCTCATGGGTCCCTGTACGGCCTCCCATTGCTGCTGTCTCCATCGCCCACACTCTGCCATGTGCCACTTTCAGGTCTCCTCACACTGCTGGTGTGTTCCATTTTTTTGTCATAGGGTGCTGGCAGATTACGGGCCTCCTATAGCTGCTGCCAGGCCCCTAATCTGCCATGGGCCCCTGTACCGCCTCCTCATGCTGCTGCCAGGTCCACAGTGTCTCATGCCATGTGCCACTTTCAGGTCTCCTCACACTGCTGGTGTGTTGAATTTTTTGACATAGGGTGCTGGCAGATTACGGGCCTCCCATAGCTGCTGCCAGGCCCCTAATCTGCCATGGGCCCCTATACCGCCTCCTCATGCTGCTGCCAAGTCCAGAGTCTGTCATGGGTCCCTGTACGGCCTCCCATTGCTGCTGTCTCCATCGCCACACTCTGCCATGTGCCACTTTCAGGTCTCCTCACACACTGCTGGTGTGTTGTGTTTCATTTTTTTGACATAGGGTGCTGGCAGATTACGGGCCTCCCATAGCTGCTGCCAGGCCCCTAATCTGCCATGGGCCCCCATACCTTTTTCACACCTGCTTGAGAGGGAGGCCCAAAAATAACGTACTATAAAAACCACCTATGTAGTCAGCTGGTCTCTGCCATTGCTCTGCGCCAACGTCCATCCTCAGACACTGTGGGCCCTTTTGCGCTCGCGTTCCCTGCCATGGCAGCTGCTGGGGTGGGGTGGTAGAAGCAGGGGCAGCTCCACCAGCAGCAGCTGCCTCAGTCTGCAGTCGATGATGAGTAGCTTTCTTCACCCAGCGCAGTGAGGAAACTACTAACCAGCCGCAGCAGCAGCAGCATCAGGTGGACCTGGAGCAGGACCTCAAACAACAGGCTTAGGCCTACTTGGACAGCACCCTGCCAACCGAGGTAGACAATCCCCTTGACTACTGGGCAACGAAACTTGACCTTTGGCCCCAACTAGTGAATTTGCCCTTGAAAGGCTGTCTCCATGCCACGGCTCAGTAGCGTGGCACTTTCAGGTCGTGTTTAGCTGGTGTGGCATTTTTTGTCAACTCTGCGGAGGACACGATTACTGTCCTCCCAAAGTGCTGCCAGACTCCGTTTGTGAAAATGAATCACCGTGGATTCAGCTCTCGATCCCAAACCACCAGTTCCTGACTCCAACTGACTAAATCCGCCATGAATCATGCCCCAAACATGTGCTACTTTCAGGTCTCCTCACACACTGCTGGTGTGTTCCATTTTTTGTCATAGGGTGCTGGCAGATTACGGGCCTCCCATAGCTGCTGCCAGGCCCCTAATCTGCCATGGGCCCCTATACCGCCTCCTCATGCTGCTGCCAAGTCCAGAGTCTCTCATGGGTCCCTGTACGGCCTCCCATTGCTGCTGTCTCCATCGCCACACTCTGCCATGTGCCACTTTCAGGTCTCCTCACACTGCTGGTGGGTTCCATTTTTTGTCATAGGGTGCTGGCAGATTACGGGCCTCCCATAGCTGCTGCCAGGCCCCTAATCTGCCATGGGCCCCCGTACCGACTCCTCATGCTGCTGCCAGGCCCGTAATCTGTCATGGGCCCCTTTTTGTCGCTTGTTGGCATATTCCACTCGTTCAGATGCTCCTTCTCCTGCTACTCCTCTTCACGGATTCCGTCAGCAGTCTTTCTTGGAATCCGTTTCCAAGAGACAACAGTTTGCGAGCATGCACCCGACGGTGCAGAAGCTGAACGTCCTCCTGTCCAAGTTGCTGCTGCCAGGCTCGTAATCTGTCATGCGCCCCTGTACCGCCTCCTCATGCTGCTGCCAGGTCCAGAGTGTGTCATGGGCCCCCGTACCGACTCCTCATGCTGCTGCCAGGCCCGTAATCTGTCATGGGCCCCTGTACCGCCTCCCCATGCTGCTGCTGCCAGGTCCAGAGTGTGTCATGGGTCCCTGTACGGCCTCCCATTGCTGCTGCCAGGCCCGTAATCTGCCATGGGCCCCCGTACCGACTCCTCATGCTGCTGCCAGGCCCGTAATCTGTCATGGGCCCCTGTACCGCCTCCTCATGCTGCTGCCAGGTCCAGAGTGTGTCATGGGTCCCTGTACGGCCTCCCATTGCTGCTGTCTCCATCGCCACACTCTGCCATGTGCCACTTTCAGGTCTCCTCACACTGCTGGTGGTTTCCATTTTTGTCATAGGGTGCTGTATGGCCTCCCATTGCTGCTGCCTCCACCGCCACACTGTGGCTCCACACTCTGGTTTTGGCCCCGTGACTGCCCAAATGAGTGAAGTGTGCGATGATTCTAAGATCGACGGCACTCATCTGCATGTCATACTGACTGTCAGTATTATTTCTTTTCCCCAGCAGACTCCAAGGGCATTTAAATTAAAGGTACAGTGTTCTGCACTAATATAAAGTCTCTCTGAAGCCTAGAAACACCCTTTTATAAGTTAAATTCGCAGCGAATATATTCGACCCGAATCGAAATTTTTCCACGAATTCGCCGAATCAGTCGAATCGAATTTTTGAATACTTCGCTCATCTCTAATCATCAAGTTCTTATATTTTTCTGCTATAATCTCAGTTATATGGAATAAGCATATACCTGGATCTTTTGAGATATTAGTCCCCAAAATCTCATGTGCTATGTGAATGAAATCTTCCCAGTACACCTATATTTTTGGACATTCCCACCATATATGTGCCATTGTACCCTTAATCCCACATCCCCTCCAACACGTAGGTGATTTCTCTACATATTGCATGTTTGCCACACTTGGTGTATTGTACCACTAGTTAAACATTTATAATTCATTTCCACCACCTTCATATCTATAGCCCGTGCGTTAATGTAAATATTTTATTTTTTTGTTGCTCGTTGAATGATATTCCAAGTTCCCTTTCCCATTTTTCCATATACAGTGGGGAAATAGATCCTGCTATTGCAGTAAGGATTTTATAAATATGGGAAGTGCCATGTTTTCTGTATCTTACTTGCACTAAACAGTTGATCAAATGGGTTTAAATTCTCCATTGTTCTTAATAGCTTTGGATTGCAACAAAGTGTCTTAATTGAAAATACTGCCACTCATCTAACATAAAAAACACCTCCTGTTTATTTTTTAGCTCCTGAAAGGAACATATTTTTCCTTTTTCCATTATATCTTTTAACTGTGTATTCCCTTTCCTTATCCATTTAACAAAAATATTTTCCTTCCGGGGGGGAAGAAGTCAGTTCCCACCAACGGTACTAACATTGAATTAAATTCCCATCCCATTTGTTTATGAATTACCTCCCAAACCTTAATTACATTTCGTGTATAAGTGCTCGTGCTTTCAGCCAATTTACGATACTGATGTGGCAAGCAAACAATCCTATCTAACTGTGTCTCACTTAATGTATTTTCTATATTAACCCATCTTTTCCCTATTGCATTATATGTCCAATCAAAAATACGTGACAACAATACAGAATAATAATATCTCTTAAAGTCCGGTACATTTAAACCCCCATTTTCTTTATCTCTACTCAGCACTTCATAACTTATTTTCATTTTTTTATTTCCCCAAATTTACCTCAGTATCATTTTCTTAATTAGTTTAAAATAAATTCCCAGAAGCTGTATGGGTAGCATATGAAATTTATATAGGATTTCCGGGACAATTATAATTTTTGCCAGATTTATCCGTTCTATCCAGGAGCATGGTCCAACCGAAATTCTCCTCAATTCATCCTTTATATCATTTATTAATGGGGTGTAGTTTATCTTATATAGATTCTTAGAAGACGAGGTTAACTTTATTCCTAGATATTTTACTTCTCTTTCCCTCCATGCAAAGGGGAATTCTCTCTGCAAAACCTTTTTTTCAATTATCGGAACATTAACATTAAGAATCTCTGATTTAGACGGGTTGATTTTTAAATTTGATAAATCTCCATAATATTTCATTATTCTCATTAGATTGGGTAGTGTCAGCCTGGGGTTTACTACATAAAATAGCATATCATCAGCATATGCTGCCACTTTATGTTCTATCTCTCTGATCTGTATCCCTTTTGCATCGACTGTGTCGTACTGTTGCCAAGAGAGGCTCCAAAGATATGACAAACAGGGGCGAAAGTGGACACTCCCTGTCTTGTCCTGTTATACACTTTAACTGCCTCCCGCCCTCCATATAAGGAAATGATGGCGCAAGGTGGTTCTCTCGTTCTGGGAGGACATCATATGACGTTCTCCCATTCTAACCGGGGGCGTGCAGTGCTGCGATTGGTTGTGCGCTGTGTTCCTGGGACACAGCGGATCACCGATCAACAGAAAGAGGCGATGACTTTGGCTCGGTCATGTGATTAGCTGTGTCCAATCACAGCTAATTGCATGTAAATAAGGAAATGCCGGTTATCATGATGAGAGGGAGAGCTGGTAATTGGCATTACTCAGAGGGGACATCTACACTGATCATCAGGGCACACAGTGCCCTGATGATCAGTGTAGCCCCATCAGTGCCACCTGTCAGTGTCCATCAATGCCGCCTGCCAGTGACCATCAGTGCCACATCAATGCCACATATCAGTGCCTACCAGTGCACATCAATGCCACATATCAGTGCCCATCTGAGCTGCCTTTCAGTGCCGCCTATCAGTGCTGACAATCAGTGCCAGTCAGTGCTGCCTATCAGTGCCAGTCAGTGCCACCTAACAATGCCAGTCAGTGCCGCCTATCTGTGCCACCTATCAGTGCCACCTATCAGTGCCATATATGAGTGCTGCCTTTCAGTGCCCATCAGTGTTGCCTGCCAATGCCCATCAGTGCCACCTACCAGTGCCTCCTCATCAGTGCCCATCACTGCAGCCACATTAGCGCACATCAGTGAAGGAGAAAAATCACTTATTTACAAAATATTATAACAGAAACTAAGAAAAAACTTTTTTTTTTCAAAAATTTCAGGTGATTTTGGTTTGTTTACCAAAAAATTAAAAACCCAAAGGTTTTGAGACAGAAAGCTCTATCTGTCTCAAAAAAATTATAAAAATTTCATATGAGTACAATGTTGCATGACCACGCAATTGTCATTCAAATTGCGACAACACTGAAAGCTGAAAATTGGCCTGGGCAGGAAGGGGGTATAAGTGCTATGTAGGCAAGTGGTTAAAAAACTCTGATAACAAGCCATTGACCTTTCCTGCGGCTGATGGTTGGCTGTAAAGCTTTCCTATCCACTCTTTCATTTTGGGACCGATTCCTAGAACCTCCAATGTATCTATAATAAAGCCCAAATCTATCCTATCAAAAGCCTTCTCAGCATCTACTGATAAGATCAATACGGGAAGTTTTTCTCTCTTACTTTTTTCTATACGGAATAATGATCTTAGCTTATTATCTCTTCCTTCCCTCCCAGGGACGAATCCTACTTTATCTAAGTGAATCTGCTCCGGCATTAAGACTTTCAGCCTAGTGAGATAGGCCTATAGCTAGCACATTGGGTCCTATATTTCACCTCTTTCTGTATGATTGTAATATGTGCTTCCATTCCCCCTCCTAATGCATTCATATATGTACACAGTTTAGGGACTAATTGTTCTTTAAATTTCTTATAATATCTCACAGTATAATTGTCCGGCCCAGGACTCCTCCCCGCAACTGTACCCTTCAGGGCCTTCTGGATTTCCTCCTGTGTTATTGGTTTTTCTAGAAACAGCTAAGTGTTCCTCTCCCAATCTCGGTAATCCCACCTCTTTTAAATACGTCTGCCTTTTTCTAATTCTTTCTTCTTCTCCTCCTTTTAACTTTTTTTCGGGTTCACTTCATACAACTTCCTATAATATGTTTTGAAAACACTACCGTTATCAGTGGTTGAGTGCACCATTTCACCCTTATCATCTTTACATTTTCTCTATATAACTCCTCGATTTCTTATTTCTCAGTGCTCTCATTAAATATTTACCAGGTCTATGCCCCCACTGATATCTTTCTCTTGCCATCATGTTAAATATTCTCCTCGTTTCTACCTCCATTAAGTTACTTAATTCTTCTCTCTTTTTAATAATTTTCTGTTGTGTATCTTTTACTATTCTCTTCTTATGTAGTTGTTCTAGATCATATAGTTCCCACACCTTAGCAATTGAGACTCCTTCAGTTTCATTTATTTCAAAGTATTGTTCTATTTTCTTTTTTTCTATTTCTTTTTTTACTCTCAGTTCCGTCTCATGATCCTGGAGGAGTGACTCATTTAGTTTCCATATATTTAGTATATCTTGCTCTCTTCCCTGTAATAACTTCATTGTGACAGGTGCATGGTCCAATATTGTTGCAACTTCTATATTTACTTTAACCAACGACTCCAAGAGTCTGATAAATCAATACATAGTCTAATCTGGAATACGTCACATGTGCAGAAGAATATACCATACAATCCCTTTCTCTAGGATGTTTAATTCTCTATATATCTATCAGCTGAGAATGATATTTATTTATTTATTTCAGGTACTTATATAGCGCTGTCAATTTACGCAGCGCTTTACTGTATATATATTGTACATTCACATCAGTCCCTATCCCTCAAGGGGCGTACAATCTAAAGCCCCTAATTCACATTCATACATACACATTAGGGCCAATTTTAGACAGGAGTCAATTAACCTACCAGCATGTCTTTGGAGTGTGGGAGGAAATCGGAGCTTACTTTGCATAGATTTCAAATCTCTGCTTCCATCTCTCTGCACATGCGACGACGTATCAATCTGGGGATCCATGCAGCAATTTTAAATTCTTAAAATCCGAAAGCCTTCTTATTATATTCTTCAAATAGGCCATTGGATGTCTATTGGGGCAATATATATTTACCATTGTACATTCTATTTCCTGTAACCTCCCCCTCAGGAACAGAAATCGATCTTCCAGATCCTCCAACTTAAATCTTATATTTTTATCTATACCACTTGCTACCCCATTACCACACTTAGTTGGCGAGTCTGCATAATACCAGGTTGGGTAGTATTTAGACTATAACTTAACGTGTGTTTTCTGTAATAGATGGGTCTCCTGTAGGTATGCTACTGCAATAGATCTCTGATGTAATTCTATGAGAATCTTATGCCTCTTCCCCGAGGTATTCAACCATAGGTCATAAAGTTAACCTCCTCCATTTTCCATATATTTTTTTTTCTTTTTTCCACAACTAAATTCATCTCAACGAGAGTTTGTTTGTCCATCCGGAGTAACACAAGGATATCCCTCCCACAATACTCATATCACCCCCCTTCCCACCCCCCCCCCCCATGACCCCTAGGCTCTTGTCTTGCCTTTGAATCATTTGTGGTCCTAGTCCCACCATCGATTCCAAACTGGGGTGGAGCTCTGGCCACATAAGCCTACTCTGACTGCGCTCCCAGCTCCTAGACAGCGTGTCTGGATGTATATGTGGCTTCCTGTTTCCCGTCTCTCGTCTAAAATTCTCATCCTGCTTAGGAGAAAGAGGAGGGGCTGAGGAAAGGGAATGGCAGAAAAAAAAAAACAGGGGAGGTCCACTCACGACCTCCAAAAATCTCCCCCCATTTCCTCCTCTCGTCCTCCTATTTTATCTCTGATGTGCTCTCCTTTTGGGGACTGACTACCAACTCTCATTTTCTATTCCCCTATTCTCTTTTACCCCCTCTTCCCACCTTGGGATGTCTATTTTCTGTAATTCTAGTCTCTCACAAAAGTCTTTTAGATCTTCTGGGAACGTCCGTCTCTCCACCCAATTAGACATGCTGGAAAACTCCAGCTGTATTGTACGTTTTGTTTTCTCATCTGTTCCAGTAATGGTTTCAACATTCTCCTTCTGGCCAATGTTTCCAATGCTATATCAGCATAAATTAAACTGATGTAAACTTGTATCTTCTATTTTATTACTGGTATCCCTCTTATCTTCTTCCATAGATCTGCTTTAGCCTTATAGTGATGGAATCGCACGATCACATCTCTGGGATTTTCATTCACATTTCCCTGGAGTCTTCCTATTCTATGTACTCTATCGATCTTCAAATGCTCAGTTACTGATCTGCCCATTATTGTATTGAACATTTTCCTTGTTTTCTCCATCAAATCTTCTCCTTGTAAGGTGTCCGGCAAACCCTGTATCCTCACATTACTCCTATCTGTGTTTTCTTGATCTTCCAATTTATATAGCAGACTCCTATGTTCCTTCCTCATCTCCTCCATCTGTTTTTCTAGATTTATTATTATTTCGGCATGTTTATCCAATTTTCCCTCTGTTTCTTCTACTCGTGACAAAACTTGCTCCAGGTCTTTATGTACTACTACTACTGTTTTATAGACCATTCCAATCTCAGAAACATATCTGCTATTTCAGATTTAGTAGGCATTTCCTATAACCAACTCCTTTTCTTTATCTTCAGTGTTTACACTTTTGGCACATATTAGGTACTCCCAGAGACAATCTGGAGTGATCCCTGCTGATGTTTTCCCATCTCCTGTCTTCCACTTACTCCCTGTTGTCTCTCTGGGGTTTGACCCTCTGAACTTTTCTCTTGTGATGGCATATATTTTTTGATTGTACTTGTTTGAGATGTTCTAGACCCACCCCCTTTCACAGCTTTACTCTTCATGATAATAATATATTTTTTTTAATTTTTGTAATTTCAAGGCAGGGGAGTTAATTCTTTGGAGAAAATTGGGGTTGGGGCTCACCAGAAATAGTGTCCCTTAATTTCTCCCATTTACCCCGTCACCAGTTTCCTCCCTGAGGGTCTCTGTGTCCTTCCACTCTCTTATGTCTCCACTTTTTGAGCTCACTGAATGATCTTTCAACAGTATTAGTTCATTTTAGTCCATTTAAACATTTGACTCACCATCTTCGTAGCCCATCACATGTCTCCACACCTTCCTCCGGTTACACTACTGCTGCTCTGGGCCTGGCTACTAACCTCCTTCCTCCTCACTCAGGGATTTCCAAGACATTCCCAAGTGATCAGGCTCCTTCTATGGCGGGCTTATTGGGGGAGGTCACCCTCTTTTTATAACAGAAATGAGAAAATGTTTTTTCTGTCTTTTTTTGTTTATAGCGCAAACAATTAAAAACCCAAAGATGATCAAATACCATCAAAAGAAAGCTCTATTCATGTGAAAAAAATGACATACATTTAATTTGAGTACAGCATTGCATGTATCCTGATAACTTCTCTGACTGTCCTTAAATTTTCTCATTTACCTTTTCACCTCCTGCCCTGCCTGCTGCTTTGATCCTTGACCACAGTTTTTAACTACCTGATTTGACCACTGACCTGAACTTATCTATGTCTCCTAATAAATTCATATGTGTAAGTATGTATGTGTGTACGTATGGGAAATTATACAACAATGGGAGCTCACGTGGATATCAAACAATAAAGTTACTAAAACTGAATTCTGATTTTTATTTATTGCATAACTAAAATATCTCCAGTCTTGAGTTTTTTTTTGTTTTATTGGTAGCAAATCTTCAGTAGAATATGTTTTAAGAAACTTTCACAAACAAGGGGAAAGACCACAACAAGCATATAGTCATCATTCAAGGACAGGATCAAGTGAAAGTACGCAACGCAGTTTGCAAATCTCACACGCATACATACTTACTAAATTTGTTCTGCCTTGATATTTGTGTGTATTTGTATAAAATGTGAAAAATAATCTCAACCATTTATGGTTAGCACTAGTGGATAATATACCTGAGTTTTCAAAATGTAACAGGCCTCATATAAGCCAGCAAGTGGATCCATAAATCAGAGAGGCAACAAGGAAAGCCACAATAAATATGCGGAAGACAGTAATCAGGAGAGGT